CCAACCCCCCATGCCTCAATACAACGCACACGCCATGGTATTGGGCAATTTGTGCTCCCCATGACACCATCTCTCTCGGCGCTCGCAATTAGCGCTCAACACGATGTCCCCCGCGCCACTCACACCAGACACCATTGACATTTAGCCGTAATCGTCCGCCTTTCCATTGGCCACCACTGTGCAGCATTCGTTCCAGTGGTTCTCATAGTTCAACTTGGTTTCACCCTTATTGTTTTCATTTTTTTTTTTAAAACTACTTTAACACTTTTGGGTACTTTGATGTCTTTCTATGTTCATGATGTGAACAAAACGAAAGAAGCACGTTTATGTAAGTTCTTTTATTTTCAGGTTGATTATTTTAGATGTATCCTTAAACGTTTTACGGGAGTAACTACACTATCCGTTACTCCATTTCTTTAAGGTGTGTTACTTTCAGAGCCATTTCTCTCAGGTTATTATTAGCACATATTTCAGCGCGACATTTTTTAACATTTTAATAGTCCCAGTGAGTAGTGAGCTCAACTTGGCCTTTGAACAAGGGGATTAACTCTTCCATGTCTTTTTAACATAATTAATGTTCCTGGAACTTTTGGCTCCAACTTTTTTCACAAGGTGTCACACAGTCAAAGTTGGCGATTGAATTTAAAAAAACTGAATTGAAAACGTGAAAAACTCTAAGTTGTCGCTAGAATTGAAAACGTGAAAAACTCTAAGTTGTCGCTAGAATTGAAAACGTGAAAAAACTCTAAGTTGTCGCTAGAATTGAAAAACGTGAAACAGTCAAAGTTTTCGCTAGAATTGAAAACGTGAAATACTTTAAGATGTCGCTAGAATTGAAAACGTGAAAAACTCTTAAGTTGTCGCTAGAATTGAAAACGTGTTAAAACTCTAAGTTGTCGCTAGAATTGAAAAACGTGAAACAGTCAAAGTTTTCTCTAGAATTTACTCAACTATTTTCACTTGCCATCTTAACAGTATCACAGAAATTTATAAGCACCCACCATTTCAGAATATCACAGAAAATTTCTTAAGTAACTTCCGGGTTGGAACACTCAGACCCAATCTAATTAATGTTTACTGGGGTACTGAGGAAAGGTCAGAGTGAGAATAGCATGAATGCTTGTTTTATGCGCACCCTGAATTATTATCATAAATCACATCTATGATTTGGTTTGTCGGATAAAGTGTAGAGATTATTATCATCCATCACATCTATGATTTGGTTTGTCGGATAAAGTGTAGAGATTATTATCATACATCACATCTATGATTTGGTTTGTTGGATAAAGTGTAGAGATTATTATCATCCATCACATCTATGATTTGGTTTGTCGGATAAAGTGTAGAGATTATTATCATACATCACATCTATGATTTGGTTTGTTGGATAAAGTGTAGAGATTATTATCATACATCACATCTATGATTTGGTTTGTCGGATAAAGTGTAGAGATTATTATCATACATAACATCTATGATTTGGTTTGTCGGATAAAGTGTAGAGATTATTATCATACATGACATCTATGACTTGGTTTTAAGATAGATAATATTTGCGTCTCTTCGCGTGACTACAGCAATACAGCAATATAGTCTCTTTTTTTTAAATAAATAAATGTCGCCATTATAGCTCTCTGGGGCAGAGATTGTGAGACCAACAAGTAAGTACAAACACCAGAGAGAAGTGTGGTAGCAGACGACGACCAGGATTGAAACACGCAGAGCTTACATGCAGTAAACACGCAGAGCTTACATGCAGTGGCAGCACTTTCAGATCTGAGGTGGCAGTTACGCAAGAAGTACCGTTAAAGTGTACGGCTTATCCAAAAGTGAACGTTTTAAAAAGCTTGAAACGAGAGGCATGTTAGTCCCTACAGCGGGTGGGCCTTTTACCCAAACGTGTTCGCGGACCACATGTGGCCCGCGAGCACCCGCTTTGTGGCCTGCGAGGTGACGAAAAACTCTTTATTCTTATTATTTTCTCAATAACTGGCCCCCCGTGACCTATTTTCTTTTGGCCCGCACAAGTTTTTCATAATGTATTACGGCCCGCCTTACATTCTGAGTTGTGCAGGCCTGTCTTAGATGATAATAATCTATTCGTGTCGCCACACACGTTTATAACTTGTATAGATATAAAATCGAAATGCGACTCGTTGATATATTTATCAACAGTGCATATTTATTCTTCTAATTTTCTTTTAACATATGCCAACCTTAAGCCTACAGGCCGGCAGGTAGGGTGTAGGACTGTCTGTCCTACAGGCAGTCCTACACCCTACCTGCCGGCCTGTAAACAATAAGCCTACAGACAGTCCTAAGCCCTATCTTTAGGCCTTTAGACAATAAGCCTTCAGACAGTCCTACGCCCTACCTGCCGGCCTTTAAACAATAAGTCTACTGACAGTCCTACGCCCTACGTGCCTGCCTTTAAACAATAAGTCTATAGACAGTCCTACGCCCTACCTGCAGGATTTTAAACAATAAGCCTACAGACAGTCATACGCCCTATCTTTAGGCCTTTAAACAATAGGCAGCTTAAAGACGGACCTATATCATACCCGTGGCATTTTATGATTAGTATAATAGTCGCCCCCCCCCCAACCCTAAAAGAAAAACATTCAACTATTGACCCGAGTTTGACCATCACGCAAGACGCACGCTGCGTGACAAGGTTCCCCCCCTCCCCCACTCCGTACTATTGATACATGTACACCAGTACATGTGGAGTTGGTGGAAAGGGCGGTTTTGAAGAAGAATCAGGACAACATACGCAAAATATATAAGAGATAAGGGACAGAGTATTGGAAAGCCTGCAAGAACACAGAACTAATCGATGAAATTTCGAAATTTCGACTTAAAACCATTTCAACGGCTCACTAAGAGGGTCTCAGCGACATCCTTAGGTGATGCAAGTCATAGTAAACCCCACAGCAATAACAACAACAAAACCAACAACAACAAAAAATCAACAACAACATCAACAACAACAAAACCACCAACAACCATATCAACAAAACCAACAATATCAACAACAAACTAGACAAGTATTTTATTTTTTAAGCGCTAAAATCAGCAATTNTGCCTTTAAACAATAAGTCTATAGACAGTCCTACGCCCTACCTGCAGGATTTTAAACAATAAGCCTACAGACAGTCATACGCCCTATCTTTAGGCCTTTAAACAATAGGCAGCTTAAAGACGGACCTCTATCATACCCGTGGCATTTTATGATTAATATGATAGTCGCCCCCCCCCCAACCCTAAAAGAAAAACATTCAACTATTGACCCGAGTTTGACCATCACGCAAGACGCACGCTGCGTGACAAGGTTTCCCCCCCCTCCCCCACTCCGTACTATTGATACATGTACACCAGTACATGTGGAGTTGGTGGAAAGGGCGGTTTTGAATAAGAATCAGGACAACATACGCAAAATATATAAGAGATAAGGGACAGAGTATTGGAAAGCCTGCAAGAACACAGAACTAATCGATGAAATTTCGAAATTTAGACTTAAAACCATTTCAACGGCTCACTAAGAGGGTCTCAGCGACATCCTTAGGTGATGCAAGTCATAGTAAACCCCACAGCAATAACAACAACAAAACCAACAACAACAAAAAATCAACAACAACATCAACAACAACAAAACCACCAACAACCATATCAACAAAACCAACAATATCAACAACAAACTAGACAAGTATTTTATTTTTTAAGCGCTAAAATCAGCAATTATAATAAGTATAATATCGTCAAAACTCAAGTAGTTACTTGTAATGGCAACATGTTCTATGCAAGTGATTAATTGATTTTAATGACAGAAAAGGGGGAGGGGGGGGGACACGCTGGTCAGTTCTGATAGATTAGGGAATAATAAATGAATTTGTAGATCTTTAAGTTCTTACTTTGAAGTGAAGAACTGGCCATGGTGGAGGCTATAATGGATCCAGGGTCAAGTGGATGGGATTTCAATCGTTGCACTGTAGAATACTGTTGGTAATTATTTTCTTTTTAAGCCCTAAATTATATAGAGAATTCTGAGATTTACCTTTTTTTTAAAAATGAAGCTTAAGACCGTGGTTATACCAGAGTAGCTTATTGCTAACCGGCAATACCTTGTTTTGGGGGGGGGGGGGAATGTTGCCACTTGCTCTATATTTATTATCTCCGTGTTGAATACGCCCCTAGTCTAGTTTGAATATTATCACATTTAGCTACTTAAATATTTCATAACTAATTGTTATTGCTGTATTGTGGACTTTCATGAAATAAAGCAAAGAAGAAAGCACCCCGCACAGACTACAGTGTTTCTCAAACTAACAATCACTTCGATTTCACAAAAATGTATCTGTATTTTTTTTTTAATCCTTTATATTATCTTCACTTTTGTTAATTCCTTTCTGAGTTTAAGGCAAAAAAATCCTCGAATGGCTGACTGACCCACTTTCCGTCATCCTATCAAACTGGATCTTGGCACATAGACACGCTTCCGATGACAACACATTCTTTCAAAATTTCACCCACCAACCCCCAGACCCTAAAACTCAGTTCTCTTGGGTTTTGTTTTTTTTTTTCACGGGGAAGATGAAGGAAATATAATTTTTTTCAAGGGTTGCGTGTTTTTTTTTGTTTTTTGATGTAGAGGTTAATTGTGTAGCTGTGGCCATGCTCGTATTTGCAATGCATTTGGGCATGCCGTAAAAAAAAAATAATAATATTTATTTTGGAATGAGTAAAGGAGGGCAATATGAAACGTGTTTTCGCCATAAGTTGAACCATTTATAAAGCTGCTTCTAATATTATAAAGATAGATATATGATAAATCATGTAAACATACAAAAATGCACTCAAAATCATATAAAGGAATTATACCCAAAAGTATATATATATTTCTAGTGGTTATTTATTTATCTTGAAACCAAAACTCAAAACTTGGAAATTGTTTGCAATAATATTTATAGTTTAACTTTCAAGAACTCTTACTTGCAAACGAAGCATCGTGATGCAACCGCGTTCTTTCAAAACAAATTGAACGTAAAAAAAAAACACATATTATTTTTTATAATTGTTTATTTTTAAAAAGGTCCAACCTTAAATAACGCCATGCATGGTTGGGGGGGTTGGGGGTGGGGGTTGTAACGAATTTGAAACTTTGTATTATGAGGGGTACGAATTTGTGACAATGAGATGCACACACAAAAAAAAGGGGTGGGGGGGGGGACAAAATCGGAAAGGCTAGCTGCGTGTCATTATCTGTGGTTGGCCCCTAATCAAAATAAAAACGAATATGATATGTATTAAAAGGCACCAAAAAAAATGTTGCATATATTAATTGATTCATTTAATATGATTATGCGATGAATTGATTAACTGAGATTCTAACAGTTGAACATGCTTTAATAAAGCCCTTACAAAAAAAAGCTAATTTCACAGACGTAATGTGAAATAAATTTGGTTGATACCAAAGTATTACAATTTAAGTCGTTTTTATTTTATAATTTCAAATTCTTAAAATGTTGATCTTTTCGACAGTATATTTTTTATTTTGTTTCAAATGTTATCATTTTTTTTTTTACAATAAGTAACATCTTATTGGTTAATTTAATAATGAGAGATGAAATATATTTAGTTCTAGAAAGAGTTCAAAAAATTGCAGCGTTTAAAATGTCGAAAACGATTATGTACATTGTACATACAAGGACGAAAGCGGGAAAAGTTCGAAAGTTTTAAACGACTACTGCCTGAACTTATTCGGAGGTCAAGGCCAGGGCAACCACACTGGCCAGGAGAACTATCAGCGTGCAAACCTCAGCCACACGTCTGGACGACGAGCAATCGGACACCTTGAGGACAGCCTGGTAGTCGCTGGCCGAACAAGCATGCCTGGTGTGGAGTGAAAGAAATAATTTCAAAGTGAACTCAAAGTGAGTTATAGTTGAGGTTTGCGTTTTGTTTGTTTTAAGTTTGGAAATTTCTTTGTACTCGCTCGTCTCTCTCTCTCTCTCTCTCTCTCTCTCTTTACCTCTATCTTGCTCTCACTTTTTCTCTCACTCTCTTTCTCTCCCTCACTTTGTATCACTCTCTTTATCATTCTCACTCTCTCTTTCTCAAACTCTTCTCTCTCTCCTTCTTTATCTCTACATGGTTTCTCTCTTTTTCTCTCTCTTTATCTCCCTCTTTCTTTCTCTCTCTCTCTCTCTTCCCCACTCTCTCTCTCTCTCTCTCTCTCTCTTCCCCACTCTCTCTCTCTCTCTCTCTCTCTCTCTCTCTTTCACTGTCTTTATTTCTCTCTTTTTCTCTCTCTTTCTCTCCCTCTCTCTCTCTCTCTCTCTCTCTCCCCCTCTCTCTCTCTCTCTCTCTCTCTCTCTTCCCCACTCTCTCTCTCTCTCTCTCTCTCTCTCTCTTTCACTGTCTTTCTCTCTTTATCTTTCTCTCTCTCTTTCTCTCTCGCGCTTTCTTTCTCCCCCCCCCGTGTCTCTCTCTCGCTGTCTCTCACTTTCTCTCTCTCTTAGTTTTTCTCTAACTCTCCTCTCATTCTCTCTGTCTCTCTCTCTCATGCTTATCTCTCTATATCTCTTCGTCTCATGCTAATCTGCTAAGTGTCGATGATGTTATTTGGCGAAGATATATTTTAACAAAAATATGTCTGAAGTTTTGAGTTCTCTAAGCAAAATGTGGCGCCCCCCCCCCCCCCCCGGCCCGCGTTCTGCAAGATTCCAAACGTAAGACTTACGTGGAGTTATCCACCGTGGTGAAGCAGTCGCTGTGCACCTTGTCCAGGTGACAGAAGGCGGTCTTCACGTCATTCGGCGATGACCCCGTCACGTTGGCCAGGCACTCGGTGACCCGCCCAATGCAGTGGTCACCCACGCTCTGACCTGTGGAGTTGAGCTTCCCCCAAAACCAGCAGTCGGAGGTGAATAGGATCTGGCCTTCGCCCTCTTCGCATCCAGACACGTTGCTGAAACAGTGGAGCATGTTGCATTACTGGAATAGTTTATGTGACGTTCAACTGTTGAAATAGTTTGTGATGTTAAACTTTTGAAATAGTTTGTGAACTTTAACTATGGAAATAGTTTGTGAAGTTAAACTTTTGAAATAGATTGTGGAGTTAAACTGTTGAAATATTTTGTGACGTTGAACTGTTGAAATAGTTTGTGACGTTGAACTGTTGAAATAGTTTGTGAACTTAAATTGTTGAAATAGTTTGTGAACTTAAACTATGGAAATAGTTTGTGAAGTTAAACTTTTGAAATAGATTGTGGAGTTAAACTTTTGAAATATTTTGTGACGTTGAACTGTTAAAATAGTTTGTTATGTTAAACTTTTGAAATAGTGTGTGATGTTCAACTTTTTAAATAGTTAGAATGTCACACTGGATTTATCTTGGTGGATCTATTTGTTGTAATTATATTATTTTTAAATAGTTTTAGCAGTCTCTTCACAAACATTTCATTTTTTTAGAAGTCATTTAATTACTGCCGCAGTTCATTCAAGGGTCATTTTCTCATTGCTTAAGGCTGGATGGCTGTGTGGTCAAGCAAGTGGGAGCGTTTCGAGATCAGCCAAAAACAGAATACTTGTCGGCTGGTGCTCGAACCTCGAAGAAATCCAGGCACTCGGGGAAGATGGGATGCGTCCCACCTCGGATGGTGCCTGGGATGGTACCTCAGATGGTGTCTCAGAGAAGGAAAACTTCGATTGTGAACCTCAGCTGCCCTGTGACGTCGTACTCCGGTGAAGACGTTCTGTAGTTAGTATGCCCCGGTAATCAATTAAAAAAACAACAAGTTTTGGCATTTCCTACGAATCCCTAGGTACTAAGTTGTACTCTACTAGCTTCCCTAGGTACTAAGCTGTACTCTACTATTTTATACCGGCTAGAATGTTGTTTATTTCTCCAGTGAAATGACCCACCGGCCTCGCGGAGATGGACGGATGCTTAAAAACGAATACTAATTATAACACAACGTGTTTGATTTCAATGAGAAGTGATCACGTATAGCGCTTATGCTAGAAGGTTCAGTCCTAATAATTGGAATGGATTCGTTCAAAGTCGGCTATAAACAAAGTTTTTTGTGTTCGTTGCGTATAGTCCAATGACAAAAAGACTTGAGAAAGATAATAAAAATTCGATTGGTTCCAATTCATTTTTTGTTGGAAGGGTCAGTTTTAAATAAGTGTGCGTGTGTTTGGGAAAAAAAAGTGTGGGGGGGCGGTTAAATATATTAAGGCTACTGACCGGTAGTTTTTGTTTTGGCATAAATCATCTACACTCCGATTCTCGCGATGTTTCCTCCAGGCTTCCAAACAAGACTCACTGACCCCCTTAGGCGCTTGCGTAGTTGCAGTTGTAGTCGTAGTTGCAGTTGTTGTTGCTGTGCCATTGGCTACGAGGTTCTGCGGTGGCGCGTCCGTGCTGTTCTGAGACCCCGTCCCGTTCACCGCGTCCGTAGAACTGTTGACAGATGTCGGAGGCGCCGTGCTGGCGACGGTGGTCGTCGGGTTCGTGACGGCGACAGTGGTCGGAGACACGCCGTTGTCCGCCCCGGGGGGCGCCGTTACCGTTGAGTTTGAGGATGCTGAATCGTTCGTGGCAGAAAAAGCTGATGGTTGGCTGGTGCTGACAGGGGGGTTGATTGGGGCGAACGTTGTCGTCGTCGTGTCGTTGGTAAGTTCTTGTCCACTGACCACAGCGTACATGGACATGAAGCTGGAGGCCAGCGCGAAGAGCACGAAGAAAATCGCTTGGAATTTCATGGCTGTGGATTAAAAAATATGTATAGCACTAATTAAACCAGTGTAGCGCAATAATGTTTAGATCTGTTTTACTCTTTTCCTTTTAGCATTGACCCGGCTCCTGCCATCACAGTGTAGGGATAGTCCTAGTGGACGCTCTGCAAAATAAGTTAAATTATATCATTATATTAAGGGTTCCCAAACCATCGGACCGCTGACTTCCGGTGTGCGGCCTATTAGGAACTGGGACACATTGTGACACGGAGAGCGAGCGTTTTATTTTTTTTCTCGATCTTCTGGTAGGGTGCGTTGCTGACTTCATGAACTGGCATATGTGCAGCGGTTGGGGAAGCAATGATGCTATCCTAAACGGCTCCCAGCAGATGCCAGGGCAGCCTTGAGGCTCTCGATTGACGTCGAGTCCACTTGAATCAATCCCTAAGCATCCCAAACCTCGGTCTGTAGAAATTGTTTTTGCCCCCCCAAAAATGTTTTTGCCCCCACCCCCCCAAAAAAAAAAAAAAGAAACGGTGAATGGTGCCAAAAATAAAAAGGTTTGGAACCACTGTTCTACGGGACATCACTTAGTCAGGTAAATTCAGCTGGTTATAGTTTAAATGAAATGATATTCTACTTAGAGAAATCAGTGACTCCGATCGTTTAAGGAACCCTGTGAATGATATTAGGTATACGTGGATCAGATATACTGCCATAATGAGACGAAAGAAGAAGGCCAAAGAAGATTTAAGAAGACCCAAAAAGACATAACAAGACATAAGAAGGAATAAAAAGACATAATAAGACGACCTAAGAAGAAATAAGAAGACATACAAGTTAAAAGAAGACATAAGAAGATTTTAAAAGACCTAAGAAGACCCAAGAAGACTTAAGAAGACCTAAGAAGACATAAGAAGACATAAAAAAGACCTAAGAAGTCATAAGAAGGCATAGGCCTAAGAAGACCTAAGAAGGAATAAGAAAACCTAAGAAGACCTAAGAAAACATAAAAGTTAAAAGAAGACATAAGATTTTAAAAGACCTAAGAAGACCTAAGAAGACCTAAGAAGGCCCAAGAAGACTTAAGAAGACATAAGAAGGCATAGGCCTAAGAAGACCTAAGAAGGAATAAGAAAACCTAAGAAGACCCAAGAAGACTTAAGAAGACATAAAAGAAGCCCTAAGATGACATAAGAAGGCCTAAGAAGACTTAATAAGACCTAAGAAAAATGCCTAAGATGACATAAGAAGGAGAGGAACATAGAGCCGAGCAATAATAGTTTCTGTGCCAAGAATGCAGTCCACGTGAAACAGTATACGCCTAACATAAATGTATAAATGAGTCATCGGAGTAAACAAGGCGGAATACAGCGACCAATAAAATCATTGCTTCATTTATAATTTTAAAAATTCAAACTTCCCAATCGACCTCCACCGAGTTGGCCTGCTCTGGTGGCAACCTGTTCTGGTGGTCTGGTGGCAAACTGCTGTCTCCTGACCACCCTGTCTTGGCTGCTCTGGGGGGGGGGGCGGCGTCCAGTTCTGGTGAATCCCTGCTCTTGTATTAAGCTACGATCCGTCCTGTAATAACCCCGAAAGAAATCTAACATTTTTAAATTAACCGTTTGGTGTGTCCCTCCTCCCCCCCCCCAAAAAAAAAAACANTGTTAGTGATGCTACTTCTTCTGAAGTGTCTGAGATCTTACCAAATTCCTATATTTAATTCCTTGTTCAGTCCTTTCGGGTTTAATTCTCATGATCATATGCAAATATACAATACGTTACTTTGAAAATATTGTTGTTTTTCAACCAAGAAGAAAATAGCAATGAAAAAACATTTGGGTGCCATAATAATTATTATAATGCTTTTAATATTTTTATTGTTTTAGATAGGCCATACCTTGGCCACATAACAAGAACCAGGACAACCCCCAAGTGAGTCATACCTTGGCCACATAAAAAGAACCAGGACAACCTCCAAGGTAAGCCATACCTTGGCCACATAACAAGAACCAGGACAACCTCCAAGGTAAGCCATACCTTGGCCACATAACAAGAACCATGACAACCTCCAAGGTAGGCCATACCTTGGCCACATAACAAGAACCATGACAACCTCCAAGGTAGGCCATACCTTGGCCACATAACAAGAACCAGGACAACATCAAGGTAAGCCCTGCCATAAAAAGGGTTCCGCCATGGCTACACCCCTGGGCTACACCGAAAACAGAAATGTAAAAAAAAAAAGAGAGAGAGATTTTCCTCAGACTTTTTAAGTGTAAGATCTTGTTTAGCAATCAACTGTTCACTGATGCTTCGAGAAAAAATGTGAGGTGACCATTGGCTGAGGAACAGATGTTGCATTGACGTATGCAAACCTCGTCCAGACGCAGCAATATACATGGCGACAGTTTTTCTTCTTGTTTTGTTTTTTTTTACAGTATTCGATTAACAAATAACAATAAAAGTAGGCAGAGTATATTGGGAAACTATTGATCTGCAATGATGACGATGTGGGCTGTGGGTGAGACAGTAGGCTGAGTAAGGGAGTGGGTTACAAGGCTCATGTATATTGCTAGCAATGGTTCACCAGGGTTGGAGGGGGGGGGGTCACCAAAAAACTATACAAATATAAGAATTGAACTTTGATCTTAATGTGGACAAAAGACAACATCTTTACAATGACATCCCAAAGTGTATTTTTGTAGAAATTGTTTCTTTGTATAACTGACCACACTTTTTTAAGGTACAGCAAACTAGGTCAAATTCTTCTTCCGCCCCCTCCCCCCCACTTTTTTTTTACACCCCCCCTCTTCCCAAAAATATATCATAAATGTCATACGGCCATTTCGTACACACTTCGGCTAACCGTAATTGATTCGTTTCATGCCTCCAAAACTCGTCTCGTGTTTCTCATCCCTAGCAGCGCAACATCAGCATTCCCTGTCTCCGTGTATGTGACTCAAGCCAGCTGTTGCGCTCGCTGGTGGTATTAAATGATGCTTACTTCCTTTTTTTCTTTCTTTTTTCTAAACGCGCTTGACGGCTTAAGGGATCAACGCAAGTAATCAAATATATTGATGCTATATGAAACAGATGGTGTTATTTTCCACCAACAGCACCCTCACTCAAAATTGGATCTCTAGATCACATTTAAAAAAAAAAAAGATAATATTACAAATGTTATGTTCAGGAAATTAACTAATAGGGAGAAACGGTAGTTGGCCATGTGAGAACTCTTTGACAGCCATAGCCAAATCTGATATAGTTGACAGCTGTAGCCATGTCTGAAATAGTTGACAGCTATAGCGATGTCTGAAATAGTTCACTGCATGTCACGTTTTAATTAGCTGACAGCTAGCCATTTCTGAAATCATTGACAGTTAGCCATGTCTGAGTTAGTTAATAGCTAGGCAATCCGTATCTCCAAATTGCTGTCAACGATGTATATAAATATAGGACGACCACGCTAAAAATAGATTGTTTTATACTGAAATTATTTCCTCTTTTCAAAATGGATCCGCGAAGCACGATAGAACAAGTGAAAAGTGTTTGCAGTCCGAATGGAGCTGACAACCCATTTATGCATTTTTTCGTTCACTTTTTAAGACTCCCAAGTTCCACCACACATTGCTTTGGTTATAAGACTCTCAAGTTCACCACACATTCACTTGGTTATAAGAATCCCAAGTTCCATCACACAATGACTTGGTTATAAGACTCTCAAGTTCCATCACACATTGATTTGGTTATAAGACTTTCAAGTTCCATCACACAATGACTTGGTTATAAGACTCTCAAGTTCCATCACACATTGACTTGGTTAAAATACTCTCAAGTCCCATTACACATTCACTTGGTTATAAGACTCTTAAGTTCAACCACACATTGACTTGGCTATAAGACTCTCAAGTTCCACCACACTTTGACTTGGTTATAAGACTCTCAAGTTCACCACACATTTACTTGGTTATAAGACTCTCAAGTTCCACCACACTTTGACTTGGTTATAAGACTCTCAAGTTCACCACACATTTACTTGGTTATAAAACTCTCAAGTTCAACCACATATTGACTTGCTTATAACTTTCAGGAAATAAACTAACTGTTTCTTTCATAATAACTGTATGCCAAAAATCTCCAAGAAGTCCTACGTACTTATACACAACACGTTTTGAATACAGTGTATTTTCACGGAGTCCATAAACAATTCTTCTAACTCCAACTTCTCAGTACGATATACTAACTCTCGCACGGTCTCTTACATCTAACTAAACTTATTTTTAAAAATATTTTTAAAAATTGTACTTAAAGGCTGCCAAAAATGTGCAAGTTCTGTATTCTTTTGTTTTCAAGCTTCCCCCCCCCCAATCCCCCAACCTAATGATCAGTCATGTCTTGGATGACTTTAAGTCATAATCACCGGAAATAAGAATGCACTCGTTCACACCCAAACAAAAAGTCTTGATATCAACAAGTTAACACGACGTCATGTCATGTGATCCACGGAGACTGTCAAGACATTTTGTTGGACCGTCAGACAAGATGATCAAACAAAAAATCGATCTCCGTGTGAGACAAAATTTGTGAAACGTCATAGACAGGCGCGAAACGAGCTTATCAAAATCAAACAATATCGACAGACTTCCGTCGGACATGATGAGTGTTATTTAACAATCGAACCTCGATCAAGGAATATGCAAAACTACTCAAATACCAAGCTGGAGGCCTGAAACGTCAAATGTGTCGCAGCGTGAATTAACTGAATCAATAACTTGGATGCCTAGGAAATAATTAATAATTTTCTTCATTCACTTCACAAAACCAGCTCCGGTCACCTGAAATGTCCACGCAGGAAAAACTGGCTCTCACCTTGGGACCTCGGTAAACAGGTAAAAGCACTTGCGGTATCCAGATGGCAATTTACTCGAATGAGCTCACCTTATGTTGTTGTCCTCGCCGTAAATTCCTCCGTGGACGCGTCGCGTTAATTACAGTTTTAAAAGTCGTCTCGAATTAATGTGAGGTCAGACACAGTCAGTTGTCAACAGGAATTGAAAGATGAGTTCGGACTCTGTCACCGAAGCGGGCAAAATGGGTTTGAGTCAAGTAAGTAAAAAATGTTTTTAAAAACCTACACGCTAACGGTTTCCCCCTCTCTCCCCCCCCCCCGGATTAAGTCACACCTTGGAGGCCCCGCCCTTGACGCTTTATTGATTTGTGCAATGACGTGGCTCTTAGCCAAAGAAATATTCAATGGTTGGTGGATAAAGATGATCCTCTTTGAGAATTTGATCGCAATATTTGTTCAAACANTATATATATATATATATATATATATATATATATATATATCAATATCGTTTCCCATCTTCCATGAACCAGAAGTCGTCGAACTACAGCCCGTGGGCCGTCATAAGTATCCCTGGGAAGCAATGATCAAGAAGGAACCGGACACTGACCAACTATTTGGCCATATTAGGCCAGTGCTTCCCTTTGAAATACTAATGGCTTTGTGTTGATTTAAAACAAAAAATTTTACAATTGTGTTTTCTTCTTCTTCGTCTCTTCTCTTTCCCCACAACACATTAGATATGTGCAGTGTGCGTAGGTGTGTGCAGTGTGCGTAGGTGTGTGCAGTGTGCGTAGGTGTGTGCAATGTGCGTAGATGTGTGCAGTGTGCGTAGATGTGTGCAGTGTGCGTAGGATTTCGTTAATATATTTTTTTTCCAAACAATAGTCCGGCCCCTGAGATTTTAAGAGGCAGTGAGCTAGCACCCTGATTAAAACGTTTGAGGACCCCTGCTTTAAACGTATGACCAGGTGTCTCATAGTAAATTTTTTTAAAGGGGGGGGGAGGGAATTGTGAAATCTCAAAATGTATGAAGGTAATCTATTCACCGATACAAGCCATCATTACCCGGTACTGATTTTAAAAACAAAACAACTTATGGTATGGTAGCAGGAAAAGCTTAGCTATTTTACCAATGCCGATCTGTAAGGAAAAGGGTAACATGTCTGATAGCGGCAGGTCAAACGTCAATGATCAGACCCTATGAGCGCTACCAGGCCCGTTCTTAGGCATACGCTGACTACGCATCCGCGTAGGGCCCCGAACGTGAGGGGGCCCCCGTGAGGCGCCCTCGATCCCCCGGGTTTTTTTTTAAACTGGCACTGCAGCCGTCTGTGTCACTCACGTTACCTTCCTCATCCTGAAATTTATAATTCTGAGTTGAATTCGAAGGCAGGGGAAGGGAAGCAGCGGGGTTGGGGGGAGCTTTGGGGGGGGGGGCCCGACAGACAGGAAATCGAGAGCTTGGCCGTGGGAATGGGAAAGTATAAATAGCGATCGGTTAGTCTGGCTAAACCAGATTAACCAAATTATCAATATGGTTAGTGGTTACACGCGAACAAAGAGGAAACATTGATGAAGGCGCAATGGAGGTGCCGCAGTGGTGGGTGGTGTTTTCTCCTCAGCTCAAGGGAGCTCCCTCATCGGACCCCCCTCCCTTCCGGGGCCCCCAGCCTACGCTCCATGCCTAGGTCCCCCAAACTCCTAAGAATGGCTCTGGTGCTACCAAGTCCATCATCAAACGAGGAGAACAACGGTCTGCTATTTGCTTTCTTAGTCATAAAAACATATTTATTTTGGGTCAACTCCCTCCCTCCCCCCCCCCCAGTGCTCGATGCCGCTTAGCAGGGTTGGCCACTGGGCGAACATAAATGCTATCTATACGTTATTGGCAATCAGAAATCGTGTAGGCGTAACTATCATTAGGAGTAGGTGTGATTGCTTCTCGGCGGGATTTAGTTTCTGCCACCTGTGACAGTTTTAAAGCTCCTGCCTCCCTGTGACAGTTTTAAAGCTTCTGCAACCTGTAACAGTTTTAAAGCTTCTGCCTCCCTGTGACAGTTTTAAAGCTTCTGCCCCCTTGTGACAGATTTTAAAGCTTCTGCCCCTTGTGACAGTTTTATAGCTTCTGCCCCCCCCCCGGGACAGTTTTAAAAATTCTGCCTCACTGTGACAGTTTTAAAGCTTCTGCCACCTGTGACAGTTTTAAAGCTTCTGCCTCCATGTGATAGTTTTAAAGCTTCTGCCACCTGTGACAGTTTTAAAGTTTCTGCCCCCCTTGTGACAGTTTTTAAAGCTTCTGTCCCTTGTGACAGTTTTAAAAGCTTCTGCCCCCCCCCCCCGGAAAGTTTTAAAGCTTCTGCCACCTGTGACAGTTTTAAAGTTTCTGCCCCCTTGTGACAGTTTTTAAAGCTTCTGCCCCTTGTGACAGTTTTATAGCTTCTGCCCCCCCCCCCCGGGACAGTTTTAAAGCTTCTGCCACCTGTGACAGTTTTAAATTTTCTGCCACCATTGACAGTTTTTAAAAACAAATTAATTCATGGGGTTGACACTTTTTGTTGTTTTTTTTCCCTTAAAGTTACATATAATCAGTGCATTTTATGTCATCAGCGCATGTTATATCATCAGTGCATGTTATATCATCAGCGCATGTTATATCAGAGCATATAATTCATCAGTGCATGTTAATCATCAGTTCATGTTATATCATCAGTGGATTTTATATCATCAGTGCATGTTAAAACATACTCTAGCTGCGGCTCCGCTTAGAGATCCTTATGTGTTGAAAACGTTTAACAGGCATAAATAATACTTAACTGTTTAATTTGCACTTAAGACACCTGTAAAGCGTTTACAATACCTTACAAGCATTTGACAATTTAAGAAGTCTACCCATCAGGTCACAAAGTAAATATTAAAGCTAGAAAATAACCCTTTATATGCAAACAATTGATTTACTATGTGGGCCTTATAGCCAGTCCAGTAATCTTTTAATTTGTTTTATTTTTTAAAGACGAAATGCTGTTCCACAAATGCAGGCTATCATGTTTTTCTTAAAAGTGATTTCGCTTAAACTTAAATACGGCTAATCGATTTATAGGTATTCTATTTCTATCATGCTTTTAATTAAATTATTAATTAATTTTAATATTAATTGTTATAATTATAATACACCCATTAATTCATGTAATTACGTTGTACACAAAAAAGTACTCTTCTGTGATTTTATATTTATTTAGTTAAAAGAAATTAATTTAGTTTAAATTCTTTTATTTTAAAATCACCCAGGTCTAAATATAAATATTATTACTTTAGTGTATCAGAGAATGACTTTGGTAATCAGCAGACCAGACCAGGGAAACGGCGCATGGGCAAAAAAAGGTGCGAAGCGAGAGACTCGGCTACGTAATAGAATTCCACCAACAACATAGAGCGACCAATTTCCAAGTGTTGGTTGATGTGTAACGTGTCCTCATAATGAGCAGATCTGGGAAACGTTACGAGCGGACCAGGGGTTATGTTGCGATATGTTCACTAGAAAGTTGTGCCACCCACTAAAACTAAGTTTAAAAAAAAAAAAAACAACTCTTCAGCTGGCCGAAAATGCCGCCCGTCATTATAAATTAAAAAAAAAAAAAGTGGCACCTGTGTGGACAACCCCCTCCACAGCCCCCCTTCCTATGCAAGTGGATTGACTTTTTCTCGACACTTGTGAGTCATAGTAGGCAAATA